GTAAATAAAAAGTTGAGGTTGGACAAAATTCCACCAAAAGGTTTTTCACCTGGAATTGGTTGCTTGGCACTTCTCAATGCCCATCCGATTCCATCCATGGCGATTACTCCATTTCGGCAAAATACAAGATGGCCGCAGTGCGACTTCACGGAAAAGAAAAAAGTAACAACTTTTGACACAGTTGACTAAGATAGACAAATGAAGGGTATTTTCTGGATAATTTGAGGGTGTCCGGTCAATTGGAAATAGTTTCGAGGCGATCAGAAGTCAAGGTAACAAAATATGTCAAGGTCAAGCTCATTTTGTCCGTTCTTCTAGTTTCAAGCTTGCTTCTTTTGCTTCACAATCAAGCTTGTCTTTGCCTTATTTTGGATGTTTTTCAAGCCACACGAATAGGAAAACTTGTATCTAAAAGAAAAAAAATCACTAGAATACAACATTTATTGAATGAATTACAGATTGTTATACTCTTCTATATTTCAGAAACTTATCTCCGTCTCTATTAATCTGTCCATTTTTGCATGTGATACCCTTGCACTGCCTACAGGCAAAGGTGCAGAAGAGTCCACTTTTCTTGCAAGAGCACATGTTCTTATCACATAGACCTTTGCATTTGCAATACATCATCCTCAATAAATCATCTTGGGCTTAGACATCTTCATGTACACCTGATCGTTTTCCAGGCCACAGTGATAAGTGAGGAGAACGAGAATATCAGTATCCTCAGCGATGACAATAACGGGATTGGTTCGGCTGCATGCAGAGGTAGCAATCAAGTAGTCAGCTTGTGCAACAGCATGCTTCACACTGATGCCAGCTTCGACCATCTTCTCATCAAAAGGCTGTTGAGCCACTGCTTGTTATGTGAGTTGGCTAGAAATGCCTTCTTGGTCATGGTGACCTCCAGTTCTGGCAAGAAATCCAAGTCGGCACCGACCTTTCTACCACCTCTCCTCTGGTGCTGCTCTTCATTGGTAGTGGGGCCATGATAACCGTCAAACAACACCAGTGGATCTCTGTAGTTCTGGACGAACAATACATACTTTTGTATGAGGGAGCAATATGTAATGTGCTTGGGCCATGGTTGTTTTCGGAGAAAGCTTCCACCATCCACAAAACTTCTCCAGCTGCAAGAATGAAAGAACAGAGTCTTCCGTTTTTCTTCCTGAGCTTAGGACAAATAGCAATAACGTGACCAATCTGTTTACAGTAAAAACACATCATTTGACTCGTACTCTCAAACCTCGGATATCTTTGTTCCGAGCCACTACGGACATTTACCTTACTTGAGGCAAATGCCTTTGCATCTTCAAAATTATCCTGCTTACCACTCTTGTCCCTAGTTACATAACTTTGAAACCAAACATTTTCATGAGTCTACACAACTGTCTGCCAGAGCTGCTGCTCGTTGCACTTCTGCATCCTCTCTCTCTTCCAAATATAACTGAATGTCTCGTGGGAGGGCTCTCTTAAATTGCTCTAAAATGAAAAACTCAATCAACTCTTCATAGGAGCTTACCCCACAATTTCTTATCCATCTTCCAAACATCTTACAAAAACTGTACACAAATTCAATATATGACTGTGATTCATGTTTCCTTTCATTCCTAAATTTTACTCTGTAGTGTTCCGGAATCCACTCATAAACCTTCAAAATGGCCTCTTTAATCACTTCATAACTTTCACATTTTTCAGCCGATAAAGACAAACAGACTGACCTAGCTGCACCTTTGAACACAGTCTGAATCATTGCCACCCAGGATGTTTCAGGCCACTTGAATGATTTAACTACTGTTACGTGCAACTTAGGATAGAACTACCCTTAACAACCAATCTTTATTATATATATCTAAAACAAAGAAGTATGCCTGTGTGTGTGTTTGTTTGTGTGTTTGTGTGTATGTGTGTCCGCACGAAAATCTCGGAAAGTACTTTACAGATCTGTAGATGGATGGTGTTATATGTAGTGATGATGATGGATGGTGTTATATGTAATGATGATGGATATGTTATATGTAATGATGATGGATGATGTTATAAGTAGTGATGATGGATGTAGTTATATGTAGTGATGATGGGTGGTGTTATATGTAGTGATGATGGATGGTGTTATATGTAGTGATGATGGATGGCGTTATATGTAGTGATGATTGATGGTGTTATATGTAGTGATCTAAAAAAAACTAACCAATCCAATCAGGCACAGCCCAGACGCACACACGTAGAAAAGTCGTATTCCCTCCTATAATTTACAGCTATTTTGATCCTTAGGTTCTCTTTCATTATGGCTTACTTTTCTCTGCATTTAACCTCCATTCATTACACCACACAGAGGTTGAAAAGTCGTATCCCATCCCAAGTATTATAGCTAATTTCATCCTTATGCTCTTTCTCATCACAGCTTACTTTTCTTTGATCTCTAACTTTTCTAGGCTGTCCATTCTAACAAGGTAGGTAGCTAGTCCATTCTAACGAGGTATGCCAAACGTCAGATATTTGAGACACAGTGGCCTAGAGAAGGAGCAGCCCTGAGGGCAGCGTTTCTGCTGTCTATATATATATATATAACAAAGAAGTCTGTCTGTCTGTATGTATGTATGTCCACAAAAGAATCTTGGAAACTACTTTACCTATCTGTATGTCTGTTTGTCTGTGTGACCTCACGAGAATCTCGGAAACTACTTTACCTATCTGTAGGGATGATGGATGGTGTTATATGTAGTGATGATGGATGATGTTATATAGAGAATATGAAAAGTATCCCTCTATTGTCATTGGCAACATGGATAAGAAATGTGAGTACTGCGGTGCAAAGAAGTACAAAGGAGAATCTGCTGGACTGTGCTGCCCTCATGGGAAAGTACGACTGCCAAATTGGAAAACCACCACAACCATTGAAGACTCTCATGCTGGGAACAACACCAGAGTCAAAACACTTCTTAGAAAATATACCGAAGTACATTTCATGCTTCCAGATGACATCCTTTGGAGCTACTAGAGTAGTTCGTGAGCAGGGATACATGCCCACATTCAAAGTCCAGGGTCAAGTCTATCACAAAGCAGGATCCTTGTTACCACTGGAAGATGAGCAGGCAAAGTTCCTCCAAATCTACTTCATGGGAGATCAAGAAAAGCAAACTACTATCAGGTGTGGCAACATTCAAGGTGTCAGACATGACATTGTCCTATCCATCCAAGAAATGCTGCATGAGCGCAACACGTATGTACAGTCATTTAAAAATGCCCTGGAAAACATGTCTTCTGACGAGTATAAAGTCAGGATCAAAGCAGACACCTTAATGCACTACAGTGAGAATGTGGAGCCTCCCGTTAGGTGGCGTCCTACCGTGGCCTAACGAAGGAGCCGCCCGGAGGCCGGCGATTCCACTAGTTACTAAATAAGGGATGGAGCTAAGACTACACAAGAGAAAGAGAGAGAGATGGAAATATCTGAACCTAACCTAACGTAAGCTAAGCTAAGCTGAGCAGAGCAGAGGCACAGGCAGGCAGGCAGGCAGGCAGGCGCATTCCCCCTGCCAGGCCGGATGTTTCGTCACGCCCCCATGGCGAAATCCTCCTCGGTATTGGCGGCGGCGGCGTTTAGCTGCTGCTGCAGTGCAAAAGTGTATGTCTAACCTAACAAACAACCAGGGAAAGTGGTGTCCCAAATCTAGTAGAGGTCTGCCAGCCTAAGCCAATAAAGGACGTAAGCTAAGCTAAGCTGAGCTGATCAGAGCAGAGGCACAGGCAGGCAGGCAGGCAGGCAGGCAGCATTCCCCCTACCAGGCCGGAGGTTTCGTCTCGCCCCCCGACGGCGAAATCCTCCTCATTGAGAGATACTGTACACTCTTCGGTATTGGCGGTGTTTAGCTGTAGTGCAAGTGTCAAGTAAACTCAACTCAAGCTAAGCTAAGCTAAGCTAAGCTAAGCTAAGCTAAGCTAAGGTAAGGTAAGGAGAGAAGGGGAATGGGGCGCACGTAAAGTCAACAGAGGTAAAGGTAGAGGCCGGAGCATGGAGAATGGAGTAGAGAAGCCCGGCAAAAAAGTGCATACATTATATAACATAATATATCATAAAATAACTTAATATAAATAATATTACATAACATAACTTAATATAACATAATATATAACATAGCATAACATAATATATTATTACATATTATAACATAACATAGTATATCAGACGTATGATATTCCAAGCAAATAGGGACAAAGTTAGGAGTACACAAGAAAGAAACACGGCAGCCATTAATCAATCAGTATGGAGCAGATATATACTATTTTGTAATATAAAACAAATAATAATAAATTATAACATAACATGACTTAATATAACATAACATAATATAATATAACATAACATAACATAACTAAATACAGCATAACATAACTTAACATAATATGTTATAATATATTATAACATAAGATAACTTAATATAACATAACATAATATAACATAACATAACTTAATATAACATAACTTAACTTAACATAACATATTGTAACATAATATATTATAAAATATTATGACATGATAACTAAATATCACATAACATAATATAACATAACATAACAAATTTATATAACATACCATAACTTAACATAACATAATATAACATAACATAACATAACATAGTGTAACCTAACATAAAATAACCTAACATAACATAACATTACCTGACATAACATAACATAACATAATAATAATAAGGGGGAAGGATGTTCCAAATCTATTAGAGGTATGCCATCCGAAGCAAATACGGGACGGAGTTAGGAGTGCACAAGAAGAAACAAGGCAGGCAGCCAATTAACCTGTATGGAGCTGCGTCTGACCATGCTGTTTCTAATCCTATTTCTGATTCAAATGATGCTAATGAAGATGCTATCTCTGATTTAAATAATGACTCAAATGACTTAGGTCTTAATAATCCTATAATGGTCAAGAAGTAAATCCTGACAATTCAGAAGAATTAAGTAATATTCCCATAACTGCAGAAATGTTAAAAGAAGCTCAAGTAAGTGATACAAGTTTGTTGCCATACATAGATAAAGCTGTAGGACTTGGGGAGATTATTAACCATCCTCATTGTTATTATTTAAAGTTTGGAATTTTTATGAGAAAATATCGTCCATGCCATGTCCCTGCTAATGAGACTTGGAATAACATTCATCAGATTGTAATACCCAGTAAACTCAGACCAGATATTCTCTCACTTGCACATGATTATATAGGTGGACACTTAGCAGTCATGAAAACTTACCATAAAATCTTACGGCACTTCTGTTGGCCAAAGCTTAAGAGTGATGTTGCTTAATACTGTAAAACTTGCCATGAGTGCCAGGTCACAGGAACACCAAATCAGATCATTAAACCAGCTCCCCTAATACCAATTCCTGTGTCTCAAGAACCATTCCACAAGGTGATAATTGACACTGTGGAACCTTTACCAAAAACCAGAAGTGGAAATCAGAACTTGTTGACCATAAGATGCATCACGTCCAAGTTAATCATCAAATCATTGACTCAATTCTTTGCTCAGTACGGGATCCCCAGTCAAATTCAGTCAGATCAGGATTCACCTTTCACTTCCAATGTGTTTAAACAAGTGATGGCCACTGCTTATCATCCAGAGTCCCAAGGAGCTTTAGAAAGGTTCCATCAAACTTACAAAAACATGTTAACGAAATACTGTAATGAAAACAGTGTTGACTGGGATGAAGGTGTTCACTTTGTGTTATCTGTTATTAGGAGCAGTAAGCAAGAATCCCTTGGGCTTTCTCCGTTTGAGTTAGTGTTCGGCCATGAGGTTAGAGGACCTTTGAAGGTATTGAAAGATTCATGGTTGGATGATAAACCTCAGAAATCCCTGTTAACCTATGTTACTCAGTTTAAAGAAATAATTAAGAAAGCATTAGAATTTGCTAGGTCTAAATTAGAGAAAGTTCAGAGTCATATGAAGAACAAATTTGACAGAAATTTAGAGTTTAGTGAGTTCAAGCCAGGTGATAAAGTCCATTACAGTCACAATTTTATGGCCCTTATGATGTTAAAAGCAAAATTAATGATGTTAATTATATCATAAAAACACCTTAACGTAGAAAATCAGACACACGTGTTCACATTAATCTGCTTAAGAGGTATTACCCTAGAGATGAAAGTTCAGTGGTCAGTGTGGTGTTGAGTTCACCTGACTACAGTGAAGAGCATGCAGAGTTTCAAGAGATTCAGATCAATAATGAAATGAAGTTGCAAAATTCTGACATACTGGCTAATCCCTTTAAAAAAATTCATCATCTATCATCAGATCAAGCTGAAGATGTGAGGTGCCTTCTCCAGGACTTCCCACAGCTATTTGTGGACATTCCACAGCGGTGCCGACTGGTGCAGCATGATGTTGAACTGGTGGAGGGCGCCAAACCAATCAAGCAGGCACCATATCACATGAATCCAGCTAAGCGAGAACTTCTTGAGCAAGAAGTGAAGTTCCTTCTCGCTTACAACTTCGTTGAAAAGAGTAGCAGTGAGTGGGCTTCCCCTTGCCTACTTGTGCCGAAACCTATTGGGAGTTCAAGAATGTGCGCGGACTACCGCAGAATGAAGAGCATCACAAAAACAGATTCATACTCAATACCAAGAATTGACGACATAATAGACAATCTGGTAAAAACAGAGTTCCTGACGAAAATCGACCTTGTCATGGCCCTTGGACTATAAAACGCTCCGAGTATCTCCCAGCGGCTCATCCACCAGGTTAAATGTGGTCTAGACGGAGTGCAGTCTTACCTTGATGACCTCAATGTATACAGCAGCACCTGGGAGGAACACTTGTCACGACTACGCCTTCTTTTCGTCAGTCTTGCTGAAGCTTGTCTCACGATCAACTTACTCAAGAGTAAATTCGCCCATGCTAAACTAGTCTACCTGGGGCACATCGTAGGGTTTAGTGAGGTCAGTCCAGTTGCAGGGAAGGTAGAAGCCATCAACAACCTACCGATTCCTGAGACCCCGAAAGGAGGCCATGAGGTTTCTGGGTACGGCTGGATACTACAGACGGTTCTGCCAAACTTATCTCAAGTTGTAATTCCACTAACTGACCTTGTGAGCCCAAAGAAAAAATTCACTTGGACACCTGCTTGTCAAGAAGCATTCAACAAGATGCGCATTCTGCTCACCAATGCACCAGTTCTCCAAGCACCAGACTTCAGCCAACCATTCATCCTTCAAGTAGATGCCAGTGACTTAGAGGCTGTAGCTGTATTACTCCAAGAGGGAGCAGACGAGATTTTACATCCGGTATGTTATGCTTCAACCAAGTTCAAGAAACATCAGAAGAACTATGCTACAATAGAAAAAGAATGTACTGCATTGCTGTATGGACTAGATAAGATAAATGTGAACCTCAGTAGTTCAGTTGATTCTATTATTGTTTATACTGATCATAACCCCCTAAAGTTTATAAATAAAATGCAGAATAAGAATCAAAGATTAATGAGGTGGTCTCTTGCCTCACAGCAATATAAGTGGGCCATAAAACATATAAAGGGAAGGGATAATATAATTGCAGATGTGTTGTCAAAAGTTTGAACAAGCTCTTTCCTTAGATTTATTTAGCACCCTAATTAATCTCTCAAGGGGCGAGATGTTACGTGCAACGTAGGATATAACTACTCTTAACAACCAATTACTAAATGAGCTATATGCCCCTGCCAGACGTACTGTAAATGAGTATGGGTTCTTCATATATATATTGTATAATTTTATATTTTTCCAGACTAGAATTACATTGCTTTGTTTCTGTGTATGTAAATAGTTTATATTATTAAAGTCAGTAAGACTGTAATAACATTAACAATGAGACATTATGTCATGTACGATGCTTGGGTCAGTCAGCAAACTCCCACTACACCTCCCACACCACGACCCAAAACACCCCTACATCACCTCCCACACCACACCCCACAACACCTACCACACCACGCCCCACAACACCTCCCACACCACTCCTCAAAACATTCCTACAACACCTTCCACACCATGCCCCACAACACCTCCACACGCGCCACACAACACCCCTACAACACCTCCCACACCACACCCCACAACACCTACCACACCACGCCCCACAACACCTCCGACACCAAGCCCCACAATACTCCTGCAACACTTTCCACACTACGCCTCACAACACCACCCACACTACGCCCCATAACACTCCTACAACACCTTCCACACCACGCCCCACAGCACCTCCCACGCGACGCCACGATACATTCCTACAACACACTCTACACCACGCCCCAAAACACCTACACCACTCCCCACAACATTTTTCACACCATGCCCCACAACACCTCCTACACCACGCCCCACAACACCATCCACACTACGCCCCACAACACCATCCACACTACGCCCCACAACACCTACACCTTCCACACCACGCCCCACAACACCAGCTACAACACCTCCCACACCACGCTCCACAACACCACCTACAACACCTCCCACACCAAGCCCCACAATACATTCCACACCACTCCCCACAACAACTCCTTCACCACTCCCCACAATACCTCACATACCCCGCCCCACAACATCTCCTACAACACGTCCCACAACAAGTCCATGGTCATAATTATACACTGACACATTTCTTTATCATCAGTTAATTCAATAACCACATTACTGAAGTATACATCCAATACACTGTCATGTGTAATTATCATGTATAAGCCAAAAAATTTATTTACAATGTCCTCACACTCACACTTTTCGTGATACTCGGAGACAGAATGGGATAGGAGGGTATACAAATAATAATAATAATAATAATAATAATAATAATAATAATAATAATAATAATTGCCAAGCCCTTGGTTACTACTGTGTCCAGTTTTCAGTTTCTTGACTCAAAAAGTGCCAGAGATATTCCCTGGACAAATAACCAACCATGACCCGTGTAATTGCACCTCTACATTACATAAAAATTCACCCAAATATATAATACTGTAATGTATAAGCCCAAATTATTCCATAAGTTATTCATCCATGCTTCAGTTGTTGACATTATACATGGCGTTTTTTTTTCTTTTTTTTTACGGGGATTAGCCCACCCGGGCACAGGTTATTGACCCCACGTCGGGGCCTGGGGGGCGAAAATGTAGTAATAATAATAATAATAATAACAATAACAATAATAATAATAATAATTCAGATAAGTAAAGTTCATAATAAGAATTACCCCCCAAAAATGATAAAATAATAATGATATCAATAATAATAATAATAATAATAATAATAATAATAATAATAATAATAATAATAATAAAGAACTATAGGAAATATAAAAATGAAAAAAGATCAAGAGTGAGAAACAATGTATGTATGTTGTGTTGTCAATGGTAAGAGGAACAGTTGAGACCCTACAATTGTGTGTAAATGAGGCAAAAAGTCAGATCAGCAATCTGGGACTTGGTCACAGGCTTGCAAGGAGCAAGCGAGGTCAACTAACTAACCATAACAAGATTTATCTGACGTGTTCCCTTCCCACACTCTCAGAGGGCAGACGGGGTCAACCAAATATAAACACCTCGCCTGCCCCTCAACACTCTCACGTCATAGAGACAGGGGAGAGGATAGAGACATCACAATTCAACGAGAGAACACCTCACTTAAGTGTTCTCCATAAGTGTACTCAATAAACTTCCTCTGGTAGAGAAGGCATAATATACTCTCAACCGAACTAGATACCTGTGAAACTATATTTTTCTACAATAAAGAAAAAGACAGCAAAGGGTTTACATTAGTCCTGCCACTTAAGAGTTCCAGAATTTATTTAAAACAATTTATGTAATACCAAAAGATCTATTACATTTGGTGGTAGTGCAGCGAGACGAATAATATAACCAGTCAGACACTCAGGAACAAATAAAACAAGCGATTCCAGTGACTTAAATGGTACTTTAAGTGAATCATGAACAAACAAGCATTTACAAGAAAAATAAGTATACAGTTACTAAAATAAACACCTGCAAAACGTATACATAGAGACACAGTGACAACAAAGACATTATAAGAAGATTTTCTAACTTAGCAGTCTAGTTCTCAACTACGCACAGTTGAAGATTACCCAGACTGGAGTCGACTCCTGCCGAGCCTACCCGAATGTGGACTGAGATCAGTACCAGCTAACACTACATCACGGGATTTAAGGAAGGTTGTCAAAGTGGTTCAAGACAGCCCCAGGTCAGCCCCCAGGCTGACCGCCCCAAGAAGGTCAGCCCTCCAGGTGGATCGCCTCAGACGTGACATCATCCCTCCCAGAGTTGTACGTCATCACCAGCGCGGAACTCTTCGGACTCTCTACTCAGGTAGATCACAAACAATCATTATTTTATAAACTACACAAACACAAGTGAACTTCCAGAAGTCTTCACATGTAGTCAATATAAAATATAAATTACTTGCACAAATGCGCAAAGGCCAAATTAAATAAACACATTTAAAAGTACGCCCTCTACTTACAAAAAGTAGATATATAATCCATACTTTTACATACTTTTAGTAATTTCTATTACTTTTTAATAAGTTTAATATATTTCTCTTCATTTTCCTAATTCGTTACAAATATTTTTGCATTACTCAGTGAGTGGGCAACGAAGTGAGTTTTATACAGTGAGTGAAGTGATAAATATTCCTTTTTAAGGAAAGTCTTCCAAAAGATTTTCGGTATCAAACAGGAAATTAGTGAATCAGACTATTATAGTCAATCATCTAAATATTCACTGGAGCAAGTAACAACTGATAGTGAGGAAGAATTACCGCAAATTAGCCAAATAGAGTTAACCCCCACCGATTCTTTAGCTAGCTGTGAAAATTTCATAGATGCCCAAAATTTTGCCGAACACACTAAGATACTGTAGACCTCAAATCTTATATGGAATCCTCAGATTGGTTGACAATGACAACGTGTCTATAAACAATTTATATAGGATTATTGGGTTCCTTCAGTTTGTCTTGTCACCAAATGAACCCTTACTCAAGAAAGCCCAAAAGAAAGAATTTAAAGTTGGGATTATGCTTGTAGACTACTTGGAGGAAATTGCTGAACCGGCGGAACATACTCCTAGGGCTCTGTCAGTGGCACCAGTCACCAGCTCTAAGGAAAAACCACAAGCCATCACCGGAACCAAACCCAAAATGATTCGTTTTTGCAAAGTCTGCAAACGTAAGGGGCATACCATAGAAAAATGTTGGTTTGCAAGACAAGCAGATAAGTACCCAGCCATCCAGTGGCAAGATCGAGAAAAAGGATCCTCGCAGGACTTTACAAATTCAGATAGTCATGCTAAACCAAAAATTCCAAGGGGACATTACACAGGAAATAAAATGTCTCAAAACACGAAAGGCACTCCGAATAAATGGTGTGTAATACAGCAGTCTCCATACCACAACACGGAAGATTGCAGAAAAATACAGCGTATGACGCAAAAAATTGAAAATCGACGGGAGACAAGTACACTGCCTTCGGGGGAAGAGGCGCGCGTCCAGCAACACGCTCTTGGATAGCGTTAACGGTTCAAGAAAACAACGCTTCCATCACCGGCTCACAGGCTCATTAATCACTGCATTAAATAAAGTGGACATGTTGACTGTTCCAGCGAGGATAGGTAACAATCAGTTATCCCAAGATATAGATAGGGGGGCCTGTGTCAATGTTATTTCATTAACGTCGTTCAATGAACGACACACATGTCCGGTGTGTCGGGAATCCAATTAGACATAGCCGGGGTGATAACACTACCAATCCGTTTTTCTAGGTCCAGCAAAATATTTCTGGCAGATTTCTACATAGTCAAGGCATTTTCTTTGCCAGCGGACAGGTTATTTGGCCTGGCCACTCTAAGGCAGAACAACATTAACGTTCAGCCACGAAATCAAACAATCACGCATAATTGTAAAACATAGCACACCATGCAAACTTCACATCCATTGCTAACTTCAGGTGTTCGTGTAATAACTGCCTCGACAGGCGCGGGGGAGTCCTTGGCACAAAAGCAATTAGTTTTGGAGTCACTCTCTGAAACTCCTCGTAGTAGCTGGAAGGACATTTCTGATGTGCTAACTGGTGTACAGCGGTTACTTAGCCAGGAACTTACTAGAGTCATAGTACGTTTGCCAAATGTGAGTGAAGGAACAGATGTTGTGTGTCTGAGTGAAAGTTCACGAGTGAAAGGTTTGTCACTTGAGTCTACCCTAAGCACTGTTAGAATAGGTAGTCTCACAGATGTCCTCGTTCTCAATAGAACTGGGGACCCATAACCTTAAGAAAGGGATGTAGTTTAAGTAATTTCTTTGTTTACGACAAACCGGTTACCGCAGAACCAATAGAATTAACAATAGGAAGTATAACACAGGGGGAATCGAACGAAAAATCACATATTGTAGATAAAGTAGCGTTAATAGCGCCACACGTGAAAGTAGTCCATCATCCTCAAGGCAAAAGTGATCTCTTAGAATTACTCGCCGAGTTGAAGAAAATCATAGCATTGCCTGGAGATCCCTAGGTAAAATAACGTTGATAAAATATCATATTCCACTCAAGCCGTACACTAACCCAATCTACATCCCAACATATAGGCTACAACACAGCAGAAGGGCAGCAGATAGTACAAGACATAGTGGACCAACGGGTAATCCAACCTTCCTCATCACCATGAGACTCGCCTTTATTCCTAGTTCCCAAGAAGGATGGAGGATGGAGACCATTCATAGATTTTCGACGAGTCAACCAGGTAACTGTACCAGACAGATTCCCAATGCCTGTCCTAACTGACTTACTACAGTTTCTGGGAAAAGATAACACAGTCTTCAGTAACCTAGATTTACTTAGCGGGTACTGGCAATTTCCCTTCCATGAGGAATCCCTCGAGGTAACTGCATTCAGTACACCAAGGGAACCTTTCGAATTCTTAAGAATGCCAGTTGGCCTAAGAAATGCCCCGCTAACATTCCAAAGAATGTTAAATACCTTGTTTTCTGGAATGATAGATAACACAGTCTATGCCTGTCTAGATTATCTAATCTTAGTAAGGAAAGATGTACAGTACAAAGCCATTTAACCTTTACATCGCGTGTCACGCACTTGCCATTTTGTTCTGGCTACCGCCAGACGATTTATTCAGTTTAGGGTAACCTCCCGCTGTGAAAGGGTTAAAGAAACTATGAGAAGTTTTCACAAAGCTCCAAATAGCTGTATTGAAAAGGAAACTTTCCTAATGTGAATTTTTCATATCGAAAATCCATTTTCTTGGACACGTAGTGGATGACAATGGTATACAGACAATAGATTGCAAGGTTAAGGCGGTGAAGCAATTCCCTTGTCTCAAGAACGTGGATCAACTTCGTAGTTTCCTAGCATTATCAGGATATTACCGGTCTTTCAGTGAAGGTTATGCCAAATTAGCCTCACCACTCACTAAACTCCTCAAAACGGATGTAGAGTATATATGGAATAAAGAACAAGAGGGCAGTTTTAATGCCCTCAAGGGCGCCTTAACGAACGCTCCAGTGCTGGCCTATCTTGACTACATAAAACTATTTACCATGTGCACTAATGCCTCAGGCCTAGGTTTAGGGGCGATGCTCATGCAAACTGATCATCGAAGAAAATGGCGTGTAATAACATACGCCAGTCGCACCCTCACTGATGCAGAAGCACGCTATTCAGCTACTCACTTAGAAGCATTAGCTGTAGTGTGTGCACTCAAGTATTTTCGGGATCTCATTTTGGGATATCCGATCACAGCCCACACAGATCATGTGGCAGTGACAGAACTATTTAATAGGAAGAACTTATCAGGGCAATTAGCGCGCTGGTATCTGACCATAAAGGAGTTGACGTTGGGGATTACTGGCCTCTTCGCCGTTAGGCTATTTCGGCCGAAGCTGATGTCTTCTTTCTGCTTCTAGTCTTGGTCTTCTTTCTTGCTACAACTAATCTGATGTTCTTGTTTCTTCTTTTCTTGTTATTCTTGTGTTCTTCTTGTTCTTGGTATTTTGGTTACTTCTTTCTTCTTGTTGTTTTATTTGGGATGAATTATGGTATGCGTGAGTGATATGATGGTGAGTTACTGACAGACCAGATGAAATGGCTTGTCAGGTGACTAGTTTCTCTGATTTTTTTTTTTTTTTTTTTTTTTTTTTTTTTTTTTTTTTTTTTTTGTCTTTTGTAGCCCGTGTCTTTTTGTTTGAATATGTGTTGGTGGGTGTCAGTTTTACTTGGTATATGTGCGTGTTGTATGTAATGAAAAGGTTTGTGATGTGTCTCTCATGTTGTATGTTTTAATTTTTGTTTTATTCATTTTTATTTGCTTTAGGGCATGGTTACATACATATTATAGATATAAAAAGAGTTCATGTGTGTGTCAATCATAACATGCCGATAAGATGGGTCTCCTTGAGGAAGATTATTACAGCGTCACTTATGGTGACATCATCTTGCAATAAATTGGGTACAGTCAGCACGAAGCCTTGCTCGGCAGCTAGGATCACCAGCTGCCGGCGCTCTGGTTCGTACTGGCTGCACTCAGTCAGAATATGTCGGATAGAAAGAATTTTGTTACACGTGGCACAGATAGGTGGAAAGGAATTGTCAAGATAGGCTTTTAGGTGGGTCAGATAGGTACAGTTCAGCCTTAGTCTGGCGAGCACGACCTCTTCCCTCCTATTCTTTCTATATGCTGAAAGCCAATTTCCTATGTTAGTCTTCCAGTTGTTGTGAAGATCTAACCTCGTCCACTCAAGTTGCCACTTCCCAATTGTATATGTCTTCCCCAAGGAGAGACACGACTGAGGCTCCCAGGGTACATTAGTTGTCTCCCCGAGACCCACAGTCGCTCTTGCTAATCTGTCTGCCTGTTCATTGCCCCAAATGTTGCAATGCCCAGGCACCCACACCAGCACAATATTCTTGGCACACTCATGTAGTTTATTAATAATGTTGCCCTGTATCTCATTGCTGGTAGTATCACCACCTTGAATTGCTTTAAGAGCTGACATGGAATCTGAAATGACAGCAACATCATTGACATTGCTTGTTATTGCAATGTCAATGGCTCTACTTATTGCGAACATCTCTGCAGAGAATATGGTTGTATGCCGCGGCAGGCGGGAGCTCCACTCCCCGTCTCTGCTCCAGATACCGGCTCCAACGTTGTCGTCAGTCTTGGACCCGTCGGTGTACACGTGAGTATAGGCGCTGTATCCTTCCAGAAATTGATAGAAAAGTTGCCTCAGGAGCTCAGGATGAAAGTCATTCTTCGCTCCTGGAAGCCACGATGTTTCCACATGGAAGTTGGGGTTCTCCCATGGCGGACACAACGGTGGAACGTATCTATCAACGTCTTCGAAATGGATACCAGCACCCTGGCACAAGGTCTGGAGGCGGACAACCGAGGACGGGGACCTACGCAGTTGCAGGAAACGGAATTTAGCAACAGCACACCAACCTGGGTGGCCTGTGCCGCGCTTCCTAGCCGCACTCAACCCGTACCTTAGCGTCAACATGTCCCTCCTGATGTGAAGTGGAGGGACGTGGGCCTCAACCTCTAGTTTACCTACACGTGTACACCTGTAAGCACCCAGACATAGACGAAGGCATCGGTTCTGTATTCTGGTCAGCTTTGCGAGTGTGGTGTCGCATGCCGAAGCATACAACTGGCATCCATAATCAAGTTTTGATCTGATCAGGGTCTTATACACCATTAATAAAGATTTCCTATCGGCTCCCCATGTAGTACCTGATAAAACTTTCAGGATGTTTGTGACTTTAAGACATTTACTTTCAAGTTCGTTAATGTGGTTTTTCCACGTTAATTTCCGGTCAAAATGAACACCAAGAAATTTTACTGAAGTCTGAAATTTAATAGGAGTATCATTTAATTTTAATACTGGATTTCTAATGTTACGTTTCTTAGTGAAGACTACTCCTACTGTCTTCTCAACTGAAAACCTAAATCCCCATTGTATTGCCCACTGTTCCGCGGCTTTTAGGCCGGCTTGCATCCTTTGTGCAGATAGCCTCTCAACTCGAGAGGAGCGCCAGATTGCGCAATCGTCAGCAAACAAGGAGAATTTGAGGTCACTTAAGCTGGGGGCTGGTGATAGGAAATCATTAATCATTATAAGAAATAATATTGGGCCCAAAACGCTGCCTTGTGGAACTCCATTTTCTAAGACAAATGTGTCTGACTTTACGTTACCTTTTAATTTGACGGAAAAAGTCCTGTCTTGCAAAAAATTACGAATGAAAATTGGCAAATTACCTCTCAGACCCAAGGCGTGGAGCTTCATCATGAGGCCAGTCCGCCATGTCATGTCGAAAGCTTTTTCTATGTCTAAGAATACTGCAATTAGAGTTTCTTTACTGCAGAGCTTTTGAGATGTCAGTTTCAAGACTTATTAAATGATCTAGTGTGCTTCTACCTTGGCGGAAACCACACTGTCGATCGTTCAATAAGTTGTTACTTTCCAAAAAATACATTAGTCTACGCTTTATCATACGTTCC